AGGGAAAAAGGCCTCCTTTCTCTTCCTATCTTCCCCTCTCGCTTATCGCATCTGAAAAATCCGAGATATCCCACACTCTCTTCTCTTCCTTCTTCCTCTTTCTCTCTCGCGGCCCGCAGCTGCTGCGATAATAGCCGGTTTACACGGAAACCGGTAGCCGGTAGCCGGAGCTAGTAGTGAAGTATAGCGGGTTTATGCCAGGTCGCTTAACTCTTTTTTTCGTACGAACTCTGCACTCGGTGTTTACACAGTCGCGAGCTTGCTTTTGGCCGATCAGTCGCGATTATACTGAAGGAATGTGCTTGAACCATCATCATTTCGAATTATCCCAGTGGGGTCGATACGATACCATAGGACTCGTATAGGATAAAGTGGCGCGAAGGTAGACACGGATGGAATGGAACGTGTTATTGACCAGCGATAACGCAAATATCGAGAATGATAATTCAGTTACGAGTTGTCTTTTTACGAGAACGCTTGTAAATCGGGAGTCTATTTGTCTATTTTCTCGGCGGTATAACTCCGGCTATCCATGCAGTATCCATAGAGCAGCCATAAATCGGACGAGTGCGGTTCACCGCGCGATGTTCTTTCTCCTCTAGTTTTTTTTTTCCTCTTTGAGGAACACGCGTAGTCATATTATTATACACGATTAGATTCATCTCTAATGTGCAGCACGACAGAAGATCTTTGGCGATTATTAGATTTGGGATAAGTGACGTTCCACCATAATTACATCTAGAGTTTCTCTAGAGAGAAGTAAGAGTCTGGCCAACGTTCTAGTTTGATAGAAAATGACGTACGAGTATGTAAGACTTTGAGGGGAATTAAAAGACGGAACTGAAATTGTTCGAACTGGAATCGATTCCGATCGGAATTATTCCGTTTTCCGTATAGAAAATATAATAGAAATCTAGGATATAATTGAACAATTCCGATTGGAATTCATTCCAAACAATTCCATGTAACATGTGCCCTCAGTTTTCCCTTTTGATTCTTCGTGGCTCGAATCGAAGAATTAATTGCTATACTTGACGCGTCCATCTTGTCTTGATAACTGTTTGTCACTCATTACGATCTTCAAAAGTTACAACGACGAGAAGTTGTTTGCTCTTCCTCTGAATTTTCTACACGTATCTATGTATCAACACATATCCTGATATAAATTATTTAAGTTAGCCCGAATGAATAATCTCACGTTAAAATATTTATACGCAACGAATAATGTGCGGGAATGTCGAGAGAATTTCAAGACAGTTTGCACGCGCAAGCTCGATTATGCGTTCGATTGATCGAGTGTACGAAATGCATATCTCAACTGTGCACAAATGCAGAGATGTGGACGGCCAAGTATGACGGTAAACACTCGATCTCCGAAATCTTTCGCGCCATTAAGTTGCAAATTGAGATGGGTACGTTTTCAGCGCGGGAAGCGATTATTTCGTAGCCGCAGGCTAAGATTTAATTAGGCTTCGGAAGCTTCGGTCTAATTTCCCGCGTCGGTACAGGAGACGAGCTCGTTCGTTTTGAGAGAGAGAGAGAGAGAGAGAGAGAGAGAGAGAGACTTTTATAATGTCAAATTACACCCCAAATTTGAGTTATGTTTTCTATTATTTCTATCAATACAAGCCGTCACTGCTTCGACGTTAATTTCGCTCAAGTTCAGTTCATTATTTTGCTGACAAATGAGTGAATACGTTAATATAGACGTTGTTTACTTGACTCACAGAAATGAATTTATTAATATTTTTATATATAGATACATGGAGGTTAAAAGTGTTATTTAGCTTAACGGATTGGGTTACCATTGCTTCTCTGGTATCTAACGTAGTGCACCAAGTGCATGTGAAGTCCGCGGCTGCGAACGCATATTCAACCGTTCCTGAAATATCGCGAACATCCTCCACGTCGCGCCGGAACTCGCGGCGAGAATCGGCGAGAAGGGACGGAAAGATTCTCACGCGACGGCATCCTCATCTTTCACGCGGTTTTATTAGGGTAACGTTCTCTTATCGGTCTTGCCGATTATCTATTGTATGTCGCTACATCTACTGTATATAACGATCGAAGCAAAGCGAGACGTAACTTTGTAATAAGAGGCTGATATATAATTTCCACTAAGGCTCCGTCTCGCGTCTGCAAGAGGAATTTTTCATTCATCGATCCTCTGTGTACTTTGACAGTGAAATCTTTTCGGATAAAAAAATTCGCAATCGTTACACTATAATATCACTTAGTTGGAACCAGAACAAGTAATTTCACGTCCATTCACCGTTCGTGCAATGAAAGTCGCTGCGAGAGATTAACGCGGTCGATGACGGTACCGTCTGATCTGTGTGCTGCGAAGAAATTCTGTCTGATCGGGATACGCGCGCAACGTATTGTTCTGTCCCGATTGTCTTGCCATTAGACACGCAGCGGGTATAGACTCGACGTGGGGTTTATTACCTAACGCGGCGAGCGGCGACGAGTTCTCCGAGCGCGTCGCGTCGTTTCTTACGTAACGATCATCGAGAGACGACAGGTGTGGACGGACACGAGGGCTTCTTTGCACGATCACGTTCTTCGTCCCTCTCGACATGCGGTATGCTCCCGAAGAAATCTCCAGAATCACATTCCCATCGAAATATCTCGCCATCAGTTTCGCTATTTTGATGACTATATCGGCAGGGATTCCGATAAGAAGCAAATCGGATGAATCGCATAAATCGAGCGAATCAGCGTTTTTAAATTATTATGTTATGTAATGGATTGCACTGTCACGCAGAAATGATAATTGAGAGCGTTACGTCGAAAGAATGAGAGAGAGAGAGAGAGAGGGGGGGAGGAGGGATCATATATATATATACACATATGCACATTCACGTAGAAAAAATACAAGCGCGAATACATAGCAAAAAAATATCCAAGGCTGCGATGACGTACGTACGTAATGCATTTATGCATAATAAAAACGGTACATATCTAATCTCGTAATAAATTTTATAAACCCGATCTTGGATCTATTCTCTTTTCCATTACGATTTTACGGAGCGGCAACAAGGTTATTTATTTATTCACTTTGATGACATATATGTACATTAATACGGTTTCGTCTAATCATTCATTCGGCCAAGAATTCCAAGAAGGCATCTTTTCCTTTCAACGAAAATGTGGGAAAATGCACAAAGATATTATTCGTCGTCTTGCGGTGGAATGTCACGGGGCCGCTAAAATTTTAAATCGAGTTAAACAACTTTCTTCTCCCTTAATTTTTTTAACAGAGCAGAAAGGATGTGCGAAAGCAGACCTTCACGGTGGTAGGAAGTAATAATTGTTGCGCTTTAGGATTCTCTCTCCCACGACGAATCGCGGGTGCCGGTATACGCATATCTGTGGGGCTTTAATTGCAAATTGCTCGCGCTTAATTACGGGGCATTGATAGCCTTTCCAGGCGGGCTTTGTTATTCCGCCGTTACTCGCTCTTTAGCCGCGCAGGATTACGCGTTGCGAGTGCAACGGAACGAGCGAAGTCGTGCTTGCGCGCGCGCGCGCGAGAATTTTGCAATTAAATACCGTTTAATTGTACGTCGACGGAGGATTATCAGCGCTGCGATTATCCACTCCGGCGCGCCGCGCCGCGCCGCGCCGCGGTCTTCGCTCTCGGCGAGCCTGTCATTATATTGTCATTTACATCGTCTCAAGGATCTCCCCCTCCCCCTCCCCCCAAGTATCTCCCACTCATAATTCTTTTTTTGTTCGCGCATTGTCGTATCGTATACATATAATATACGTGCGTTATCGTTTACCAATACCTATCTCGAGTTATCCTTGCGCGAATGTTGGATTTTATTCCCTACTCGGCGCGACATCGAACGCTCTCCCGGAACTATATGATTAATATAATCAACACATCAAGCTTCATAACGTTATCTACGATTATCAGCGTCAAGAAGAGAGTTCATTGAGATTCTTATTTTGAACGTTAGTTTTTCTCTTAAGTAAATAAAAACTTTCTCGAATTTTCTTTAATTAATTCGTCGAAATGTTTTACCTTCGAAGAAGAGAGAACGCGCGTTTCCTGTTTGAATATCTACTTCCTCATCCATTTGAATTTCAGAATTGATTATCAGGTAATTCTGAAGTATTGATGTATTCGACGTAACCGGAACGTAATGGAATTTCGATTTGAGTCTGCCGGATATAATATCGACAAGTTAAATAGACTGTTGCAAATCAGTTTACTTCTGTGATCTCCTCGTCTCTTATTTTATATATATTTTACGTATCACTGAAATTCTGAAACTCTTAAGAGTTAGTTAATTAATGGTATCCATGCTTGTGTAGGTATTATACATACATATATCGAAAAAAGTTATGAAATAACGATATCGATACTACGATTGTTGTAGAATCTTAGTGCTGATTCGCGTGGCGAAAAAAACGTACGGAAACACGCGCTACTCGAAAAATTTCTCAGTGGGAAAGCTTTACGCAGCGAATTCCAGCTGGATTCTTTTTCCTCCGCCACTTCTTGCGTGCTGTACGATGCGATGCGATGCGATGCAAATCAGAGCTAGAATTGAGGCGGAATGTCACGAACGCCTAATTTTGCGGAGAGAATTTTAATTTTTTTATCGCACGCACACATTTGTTCGTAAAATTCCAATAAATCAATCCACTCGTAATGTTCAATGAATGTCACATAAATACAAAAACGAATTTAATTACTCCAAATATAAACTTTGAATTTAATTAATTTATTATTTAAGAGAAACACACGCGCGCGCGCGCGCGGCGTGTGTGTGTGTAGATTTAATAAATGCATCATATCAGTACAACATATAATATAAATTTAGGTAATATGAAATGAAATGAAATGAAATGACAAAAAATTTCGAATTTAGTAAATTCCACTGGAGAATTTTCTTTTGTGATCATGAGATGGGTGGGGAGGGGGGGGGATAATAAATTTATATTGATTAAATGAAATAATGTAGATGTTACTCGGACTTTTGCAGGCCTAGCCCGGGCGGTGTCGGCGATAACGGCGTTCAAGGTGTTCGCGGCAAGGGTCTGCCGCACGTGATTTACTGCCGACTCTGGCGTTGGCCGGACCTACAGTCGCATCACGAGCTCAGGGCGATCGAGCACTGCGAGTACGCCTTCACCCAGAAGCGCGACGAGGTCTGCGTGAATCCTTACCATTATCAACGAATACAAACGCCAGGTACGCGAGGGCAGACAGGTGCATAGAAACTTTTATTTCATACTCGTTATAGATATATATACACATACTCTAAAATTAGATAAGCATGTAATGATTATATGAATCACATAATATTAAACATATGGCGGTTTTTAAAATCCATTTTTAAGGAAACCGTGACTGCCATTAGAAAACGGCCATGAAATTAAGCTTCTATTCTATTGTATTGATACCGTTTCGAGTAACGATAAGTTTTTGACTTTATATAAGTTAGGAAAATAAACTACTTGTTTATATAGCAAAGATAAAATTTATATAAACCTCCTCTTTTTTTGTGACGGAGAAAGGGCGATGGGCGGGCGATCATTGGTATCCGTTTTGCTCAAATTACGTCTTCTCTCTCTCTTTCTCTCTCTCTCTCCCTCCCTCTCTCTCCGTTTTTCTTTCTCGAGAGAGGGCTGTTAATCGGCCGTTACGACCGTAAGCATAGCGAGACTAGATCGCGTGACTATATCGCGGCGCACGAAACTTTGCAGTTTTGCCAGCCATTCTCGTACCGCGGCACAACCTAGCTAGCGACGAGAACACCGTCCTCTACAACACCTCCCTCGAGGAGCTCAGCGTCAGCGTGCCGGAAAACACGAACTTCCACGCGACGTTGAATCACCAGCACAATCAACAGCAGGGGATACCGCACTCCCCGCAACAACAACAGCAGCAACAACCAAATAATCCGTACCAAGGAATGCAGGTCGGTAACTGGAATGGATCACAATTATCATTAACAAGTTGGCTTGCCCAAAGTCAACAGTCAATTTGTTTCCCCATGAAAAAACTCATTTCTTATCACTCTTACTTTTAATTATTTGTCGCTGTCAATGCTACAAGTCAATGTCACAAGTTACAAGTAATAATATATTCTAATATAAATAATCATAATAGTTAAACATAATAGATAATGTAGTATTTTTGTTATTTAAAATGATAAAACAATTTATCATTGTGATGATGTGATCTCTAATTAATTGCATGACCTCGTACTTTAACTATATGCATATCTGATAACATATGCATATCTGATTTTTACACAGATTATGTACCTAGTGTACTATAACACCCTATATAGTATAATGAAGGAGCGTAATAAACGCGCTGTCGGATTTGGAAATGTGATTACTTGCACATATTATTTATGTTTAGAGCATGCAGGCAACGAGTCCGGCAAGCGTCGGGAGCTTGGGAAGCGTACAGGGCTCGCCTCATCCCGCTCCAGGATCCATGGATCCGCCGGCAGATACACCGCCACCGGGCTACATCAGCGAGGATGGCGACAATATGGACCACAACGATAACATGTCCCTGTCACGCTTGTCACCCAGTCCTGTAGACGCGCAGCCGGTTATGTATTGCGAGCCCGCGTTTTGGTGAGTACCAGGTTGATTAATGGACATGTTGCGCGTGCAGGTGTATCGCACTCCCCTGAATCACATAAACGTACCACGGTGCCTTATACGTTGTCCGCAAGATTTTTATCGCGAGAGTTTCTAATTCCTAGCGATCGTCGCGGCGAACTTATGGAACGAACATCTTCTTTGGAATTTATCGAATTAATATTGACGTGAAATGTGAAATCGGATTCTAAGAGATCGACATTAATACAAGAATATTAAAAACCGCAAATTAAATTGACAAATTAATTGATTTATATATATATATATATATATATAGATAATATATTTATTTATTCCATCCCGCGATCCATAATTGCTGTTCGCTCTTGATCTTCATCGTGCCGTGTTTACACTGCCATTTACACTTACTTTTGTTTTATTTGCCAGGTGTTCAATTAGTTACTACGAGCTAAATACGAGAGTGGGCGAGACGTTTCACGCGTCGCAGCCGAGTATAACCGTGGATGGTTTCACCGATCCAAGCAACTCGGAGCGCTTCTGCCTCGGGTTGCTGTCCAATGTAAATCGCAACACGGTAGTCGAGCAAACCAGGCGACATATCGGCAAAGGTGTCAGGTTGTACTACATCGGTGGTGAAGTGTTCGCCGAATGTCTATCCGATTCGAGTATCTTCGTACAAAGTCCGAATTGCAATCAGCGCTATGGCTGGCATCCGGCTACCGTTTGCAAAATACCGCCAGGTAAGCGAAGTAATTTACCTCCTTACTCATTGTAATTTGCTTTTTTCTTGAACAAGGTAATATACTTTTTTTACTTCGTTTAGTTTTAAGTATTTTTTTTTAGTATTTCGTCTTTAAATTATTTAATTACGAGTGTGTCTAAATTCTTTGCATCAGATTTGTGTAAGCGTGTCAGTACACGGACAATTTGAAAATTAATAAACTATTAGTTGTTTATTTGGGTTTCTACATTTTTATTCGTTCTTTCCCCCACACACATATTTTTTAATCTCGCTTGAATTGAAATTAGTAATTTATCGGAAGCCTTTGAGACCTTCCACATGCGTTCTTTCAACGAGATCTGTTTTCACTGAGATTCTTCTACCTCCTGCCTGAATTATTCAATAATTATGTCCCCAATGAATGATTGACATTTCTTATCTAAAATAATTATTACATAAATAAATCATTTGCTTATCGTTCGTCGTTTTCAGAATCTGTGTCAAATGTATTTTGTTGGCATGCAGGATGCAATCTGAAGATCTTCAACAACCAGGAATTCGCGGCGTTGCTGTCGCAGTCGGTGTCGCAGGGTTTCGAAGCAGTGTATCAGCTGACGCGTATGTGTACGATCCGAATGAGCTTCGTGAAGGGCTGGGGCGCGGAATATCGCCGGCAGACAGTCACCTCAACTCCCTGCTGGATCGAGCTACATTTAAACGGACCGTTGCAGTGGCTCGACAGAGTACTCACGCAAATGGGCTCGCCTCGCCTACCCTGTTCCTCGATGTCCTAAGTCTTTGCAACCTCCATCCGTTCGTTCATGAGAGAAGAACACGTAAGAGAATACCCTTCGTGTGCTATCGTCGTCGATTCATCGATCCATTCGTTTCTTCTATTCGTTTCATCGCATACGGTACGTGAAAGTTGAATCCGTTGTTCAGATTTTCCTCGAACGAACGCTGCTTAGTGACGCGTGTAAGAAGAAGAAGAAGAAGAAGAAGAAGAAGAATGTATGATCTTTACGCTCGAAGATGCAGTTAGTAGTTAAAAGAATCAAGGCTCAGACACAACGATACCATTTCCTTCACGCCGATACTAGGCCGCTTTCTCGAATTGTCGCGCGGTCAACCACGAAGCAACCACGATGTGTGAAATACGCAGACGAAAGGAGAAATTGAAACGGCGGCGTTCGCACAACAGTTGAATATCATAGTAGATATATTAAAACTTGATGTCCTACTACGGTTTGTTGTGATTGAAGAGAGAAGACACGGTGATGCGCAAGGACGCGAATAAGATACATGAAGCTTCGCCTCGACGCACTTATATCGCGCGCATGTGCACCGCAATTGGCGTACAAGATATATCCAGGGTGATCATAATCCGAGTTTAGTCGATTCGTAATAAGGAACAAAAAGAAAATGAGAGAGAGAGAGAGAGAGAGAGAGAGAGAGAGAGAGAGAGAGAGAGTGAGTGATATTTATATATATTATATATATATGTATATATGTACCGTGCGCTAACAGAGCTCAGTCTTTTACATATTTTTATTGCGTATTCAGGCAGACACAACTATTACAGTCATACTACAGTATACGCCAGATCTTTACCAGATATAATATCTATACATTATACATAATATATTATGTATGTTGACTTTAGCCCATCGTAGTGGAAGGAGTCCACTTGAATATTCTATATTCACACACAACACATACACATACAAACATACATACACACGAACGCACGCATGCACATACATATACATACATATATATATGTCATGTTTTGCGATATTTGTTATGGAAGATTACGATAGCATACATATATCAGCGAAAATAAAATTGTTTGCAACATATAAGATTTAAAATTAATATATA